TAACTTAGCTATTATTATCTCCGCGTAAATTGGTATATAAAGTACCCTATAGATGAAACCGTAGAATACAGCTAGTAAGTACTATAGGTATGCCAAATTTCATAATGATTGATTGAACCATTAAGACGTCAAGAACAAGGTAAATTAGGGCTTAAGCGTAATTTGCCTGTTTTTCTTTTAGGTTTCCGCTTAACGTGACGCAAATACGAGTATCTTTATAACTTAGAGCACACTTGTATTACTTGCACATAATCTACAGACAAACAAGTGTAAGTTTTAAAGACGAATTCCAAACTCCACCAAGTGTCAACAATCTCCAGTATCAAAAAACAGTTTAAATAATATAATATTATATAGTAAGAATTAAAATGGATTTTGATAAAATTTCCATGAAATGAAACTGTAAGTATATTTTTTCAGATAAAAAAAGAATTTTGCAAATCAGTTTTTAACTGACAGAGTTATGAGGTTACAAACATAATAAAGCATACAGTACTGAAAAGCTTTTTTTCGTGGTTAAGATTTACATACACTAATAGAACATATAATATAAAATATAAAAACAAATATATATTAATTATTTCTATGTACTATTAACTATTATATAATATTTAGTAAATATACCTACTTATAATTAAATCAAATGGTTTGGTAGTTTTTTTATTAAATAAACGTCTTTAAGTTTCAAATAATTTTTATTAAGACAAACAAGAAGAATAGTTTAATTTTTGCTCGTCCAAGTTACTTGATCTGTTTCTTTATTACCTTTTAGCAGACTAATTCTTCTTAATTCGTTCCATTGTTTCTGCCTACCCTAATGGAAGACAGGCGTGACAGATACGTAGATATGTAGAATAATTCTTTAATTCTTTTCATATAATATCTACATTTCGATTTTAATTATTAGATTGCCCTTTGGAGCAATTGCTACTAGTATATGTAGGCAAATTTAAATTTAAATTTAAATTCATATGCATAAAATTGAAGTGCGTATCTCGAACTTTTCGACGATTCTCTCCTAAACCAATCTGTCGCTTTAGACTGCAATCTATGGGTATTTCAATACCGGTACACGGTCTATTGATGTCTAAAGATAAATCACGAGGGTGTCTTTTGGATTCTCTTAGATCTTGTTTAACATCATCGAAAATTGGCAATATTGCATATGATTCAGATGTGGTAGTTGATTCCACTCTATCGTCTTTTCTGTACAACCATGATGGTATCTCAATTTCTCTTCGTATACTTCTCGGATTTAGTTTTGGATTTTGGTTATGAATAGATCGTGTTGATGCCTCTACACATGTTATTTCGATTATAAATGACGCGAGAACAGTTTCTAAAATTAATATTAATCTCAGCATTTCACTGATTATTGGTCAAGTGGTGGTAAAATACTGATTATATTATTGAAATATCACATATTTATAGGTAAAACCGATTGGTGTGCACTATATTGAACTCCAGATAAGCAAGATTCAGTATTATTATTGATAATAATAATATTTACGTTTAGGTATCTAGTGTAATTACGGTACCTATCTTTTTTTTATTTGAGAGTTTCCTGTTGTCAGGGGCACTATCAAGGTAATTATCAAGGTATTAGCTTTTTTTACCTACTTATTTTATGACTACTTACAAAGCATTACTCTAATAATAATAATAGTATTTCATGATAACTGAAAAAATACTACCTTATCCGTCTACTGTAAGCAGATTATTGAGCCTATTACTAGCATTAACAAAAAAATATAAGTAAAAACAATATTTTGTTGCTAATAATTTTTTTTCTAATATTATAATGTTCTTTATAACGCTTGCTCCAAGTGTCCTATTAGCAACATTTGTATTATTTATACAGCTATTTATTTATTTATATGCTTTGGAACATTCACTTATAGTACATAGATTATAACAAAAATGTACACAGACGAATTTATCTCTTAAAGGGATTTCTTCCAATTAACCTTGAGAACCCGAAAGGAGAAAGTGTCTATAGGGTTTATATATATATATATATATATATATATATATATATATATATATATATATATATATATATATATATGTGTGTATGTATATCTTATATTGCTAGCAATAAAATATATATACATTTTAATGTCTGTTTTAACGTAACAAGGGACGTCATCTAGGGTCATTGTAAATAAATTATTATTGTGATGGTATCTGTACCCAATCATACGTTCGGTCAGTGTATTATTAATTAATAGGGCCAATTCTGATTTTTTTCTCTAAATCTATCGCAAAATTTGAAATTCCAATTTGATATCACATCGAAACCTTTATTATAAAGACCAATATGAACTAGTTTTCTAATAGATACAAGTCAAAATTATTATAATATTAGTTTACGATGGTCCATAAAACAGCAATTTTGCGAAACTATCAAACTAAAGTAATAGGTTAAGAAATAAAGATATGGCGCCTCAGAATCGAGCCCAATGTTTTTTATATACAAATAATGCCAACTCTACAGTTCACGCTCTCAACACTCTACCCTTGTAGGCGCGTGTCTATATTTCAAAGAGTGGATAATCTAATGACCAACCTTTAAAGATATGAGTAAGCCATATTTAGCAATATAACGATACAAAGGGATTTGTGTAGTTATGATTTTGTTATGTAGTTTCTAGAATTTGAATTTTTTTTTTTCTTATAAAGTTCCATTTTGTCTTTTAATTTAATATTAGTTTTAAATTGAGAATTTTCAAACTCAAAATATAGCCTTTTCTTTTAGGTTAGGATCATAAAACATTTCTTGTATTATAGGAAAAACGATCAAAATTCCAGAATATGTTTGAATAATTGACGGGGTAATAAAGTTGTGAATAAGCAACTAATTAGAAAGCAAATCAATATAAATATTATATAGTAGACTTACTGTATTATATTATCTGTACTTGCGTGATTATAACTTTACAGGTCAGATACTGAGGTTAATGTTCCGACACCGAATTCGTATTGTTGTTAAAGCGTTTATTTTATATTGTTGCATAATTATTTTAACGAATAGAAAGACGTAGTTTTATAAAAAGTAGCAGCTTTGAATTTATAATAAGCGTCTGTAAAAAATCATGATATTTTTAATATATATATGATGAGACATGATATTTATAAAAAATAATATAAGAAATGGGTTATTTCCTAACGAGATATGGATTGTTGTTTGTTGCTTTTTGACGCAAAAATTACTGAACAGGTTTGAATGAAATTTGGTACACGGAAAAGTTTATATTCTAACTTAGGAGATACGACACTGTGCACTGATATAAAACCAAAATTCAAGAAAAATAGCACGAACAAATTTATTAATACTGTAATGTAATATGGAAGACGTCATCATCTTGAATCATCATCATATCAGCCTTTAACTGTCTACTGCTGAACTTAAGCCTTCCTGTTGGGAGGTTTTGCCAGTAGTTTCTTGTCAGGTGGATTGACAATAGCAGTCAGGCTTTAGAGATGTTTTAAGACAGACGCTGCTACCCATCCCTCGTTTTCCCTTAATTGACTCTTACGACACCCACGGGAGAAGAAGGGGTGACCTATTCTATGCCGGGACTGGGATAATATAAATCGTTTCTCTTTTTTATGTTCTATTTTCATATGGTTATAAAAATAATATTACGCCTAACCTAATTCTAAAATAACTGTGGTGGCTAAAGTACAAATATAATAAAATAAATCGATTTAGACAAAAATGAAATTTTCATATTAAACGAAATTGGTTTTTCAATAAAGGTATAGGTTAGATTGAAAAAAAATATTAAAAAGGTTTCATATTTTGCTTAGATGGAAAACCCGTATTAAAAACAGGGCGAAAAAATATCCAATTGTAGCGACTTCGTTTTTGGTTCATAAAACAATTTATGGCCCCAAAGTGACTGTCCTATGATAACACTATCTGCAGAGTCATGTTTAATATCCCACACGCAAACATACGTGTATAATACGAATAAGGAAAAATATAGCAATTATATCACAGCAACAACTGAAAAATATATAAATTAAATATAAAGTAGCTAAATCTAGGTAAGTATCTACATATTAATTTTTTTTTTTTAATATTTGTAAACACTATATTATATTGTTTATATTTTTATATTTAACCTTTACAAAAATTTACAATTATATACTCTCCAGTGACGATTGCTAGCATATACCCCGTCAAGCTCACCTCTACGCGGATGCCCCTGCAAACCATTGTAGTTTATTCCTAATGAATTTCACAATGGTTTTTTTTTAATGGGTGATAATAGAATGGTACACCACCCACGCTATCGGTATATACCGGCGGGGCGCCAGTGAAGGATGATAGGTGAGGATGAAGCAGGTCAGATAGCCTATCGTGACCAATTCAACAAAAATTGTTCACAATGGTTTCCAGGGGGAACCACATAGAGGTCGACCTTATAGGGTATATTGCTAGCAATGAGGCTGTCAAACTCCATTGCTAACAATCTCTTTACCCCATCTCATATTGGTTAACATCCTTTTTTTGTTGTTTCTCACTGGTACCCCGGCTAAGGTATATAGCACAAGCGGGATTATTGTTTCATTTTCATCCAGTAAAAAAAAATCTAATGTATTCAAAAAATTAATATAAAATAAACAATACAACAAGTGCATTATATCCGACTTCTAGGTGTCTGTTTTACTGTTAACGTCTGATATTTATTTTATGATAATGTTGTTCATAATTAATAGATCCTGTTGAGCACTGAAATGTTTAGAAAAAAAAAAGATTAATTAGGAAACTAAACAAAATTATTTTTTTACATAGCTATAATTTTATTATAACTACGAGTATTTAAATATCTATCTGTATAATACAAAATAACTATTCAAAGTTGTAGATGCATAAACATGATATAATTAAAAGAATATTGAATATATATATTCAAATTTAATTTTAAATATATATATATATATATATATATATATATATATATATATATATATATATATATATATATATATATATATATATATATATATTTAAGGTATTCTCCTGCCAAATTTCATCAAATTCAGCTCAGCACATAATAATCATAAAAACTAAATAAACACGCAGTTATTTTCATATTATTTTCGTCGTTTACCAGTTCTACTCAACGTCTTGTTCAAACTGCCTTAGTTAACAACTATTTCAATGGTATTATGATTTGTTCCCGCCAAATCTTTGCCACGGTTGTGTACGAACATTTGGGTTCCAATTGGGGATAATAATATCACGATGAGTTGGCTTCTTAATGCCAGGAATTTGAATATCCCTTGTGCTTCTTGCATAAATGGGGTAAGTCTGCCGCGGAGACCATGGATGCGGTAGTATTGGGTCAATATCTATTGGCTTTGGTACAGTGGGTGATGGAAACCTAAAAGGCTCAGGCAATCTGATTTCTCTAGCGTTTCTGCGATTATATCCAGGGTGCGTTGCTCCCGCGTCGTGACTGCCACTTGAAGTGCTATGACTTCCTCCACCACGTTTGGCGCTTGGAGAATCTAAGCTGCGCGCGTATCTTCTATTCGGATCTAATTTAACATCGTCAATTATTGAAGGTAGAATCGGGTGGTCAGCAGTGGTAGGTGCTCGTTCTATGTTGTCTCCTTTATACAACCAAAGAGGCTCGTCCGCTTCTCTCACAGTCCTAATAATGACTGGTCGTTGTCGAGGAGGTCTATATGTGGGCAGATTATCCGCTGACATGAAGAATCCACAATAAATAACACGAGAAGTACTCCCAAAACGTACGTTAACTTCAACATCTTCAACAGCTTGGATATTACTCTTACAATTACCGTTGTTGTAATGTGATTGTAGCATTACACTAATGCTTATTTATATGTCTTAAAGTATGCCAGGTACTTTCCCAAGATGATTGTATGTTGAAACCTCGTAATACGTACCAGGGAATAAACCCAGCCCGTTGTTTACTATTTTATGTTTACCTTGATGTCCGGTGAATTCCTTTATCCTACTGTGTATAGAGTTACAATTTGTTAATACCTAACTACAGATATTTTTGAGATAACCTCAGTATGATAAGAATGAAGATGTGAGTAAATAGGTATAATAACATATAAATAAAACTGGATTGAGTTCAAATACACACATGTGTCTTCATGCTCTGTACATCTGGTAGATAAATAAAAGTGATAAAGAAATTATATTGCAATAAAAATAACGAGGAAAACCCGTGATAAAATATTTATTCTATTCAGTTATCTATTGCAAATTAATCAATAATAAGATCTATGTTAACACTTGTAACCTGCTTTACACGTACATGCGGAGAGAAAATAGGTTTCTGAATAAAATCCTATATTACACAAGTATCACACTTACGTATTAAGCCTACCTACTAATATAAAAATCAGGACAATAGATTTAATTTGTACTAGATGTTTCTTTAACATTCACTGGCGTTTAACAAATTACTCTCTCCCATTTCCGTGAGAATTCCATGTAATCGTTTCTTATTGCTCACTCACAAGCTGTGTGGTCCCAGCATAAAATGGGCCACCTCATCCTTTCCCGTGAACGTCGTAAGAGGCGACTAAGGGAATTTAATGTTCGAGAGATGGGCAACAATGTCCCTTTTAAAACGTCATTAAAGTCTAACTGCGGTTGCCAACCCGCCTGCCTAGCGTGGCAACTAGTGGCAAAACTCCCCAAGGGAAAGGCCTATTTTCAGCAGTAGAAAATTGACAACTGATATGATGATGATGATAATGATTACTAGTGGAGTATAATTTTATTATGCATATATTTACATTTTATTAGAAGCACTGTTAGTTAAATATATATAAATATATATGTAAAAATATCTTTAGATCCAGCAGCTATCTATTATATACAATTATGTAATTAGACCTAGTTGGTGGTTTTCTCCTCTTATACTTTTAAAGATTTAAAACTTGAAATAAAAAGGCTTATGATACAAAAGTTGTGTAAAAAAAAAAATAATGTATTTACTGAACCTGATGTAAAAATCTCTTTCGATCCAGGAGATACAATTATGTAATTAGACCCTTATACTTTTTCCTCTTATACTTTTAAAGATTTAAAACTTGAAATAAAAAGGCATACAAAAAAAAAATAAGCACACCACTGGGGCAAATTCTGAAATGCCATTTCTCTAAACTTGTCTCTTAACCTAATATTTTAATTTGATAATTTCGGAAATTATTGTTTTATGGACCATCATATACTAAAATTATAATAATTTTGATTAAAATCTATTAGTAAATTAATTCATATTGGTCCTTACAGTAAAGTTTTCGCTGTGATTTCAAACTAAAATTTTAATTTTAGAAATAGATTCAGGAAAATAGCGACTCAAAATCGATCCATTGTCACGTGGACTCAAGTCAAGACTAAATTTGTTAACGGTGTTTTCATCATCGAAATTTGGTTTGACGCATTTTTTATGATACTTAGCTAATACTACTTAATAAAAAGCAAGCTGATTGCCCATCTGATAGAAAGCAATTATTACTGCCTATAAATTTAAATTATTATATAAAGTGATGTTTCACAGAATGCACCTTGATGCCCATGGTATCTTTTATAAATTGTCCTGAGAATTATGATTTTATGCGTCCATATTTTATAATAATCTAAGATTACCCTCTAACAGCATTTGGTTAGCTGAAAGAGATCTGAGATAAGCCCATCCTTGCTAACAAGTTGTTAAACCAATTGCTGCATCTTTTTTTTTTTCAAGTGCAATAAAGAATATAAATTCAAAAAAAAAATTATATTGTTATCTTACAATTAGATTTATTTGGATCCGATTCTTTGTGGGTCAATTTTCTTATCTCCAAAGCTAATATTACAACTTGATAATTTTTAATATTAACTTTGGAAATTGTGAAATTACTGTTTTAGGGAGCGTCATTAACTAAGACCATAATAATTTTTACTTAAATCTATTAAAAAGTAGTAGTAGTTGTATTGGTCATTATAATAAAGATTTCGCTGTAAAATCAATTTGAAATTTTAATTTTAAAGATAGGTCTAAGAAATGGTTTCCAGAATCGAACCCAATATCTTTACTAGTTTCTATTACAATCCTGATGGTGGTCTTACGCTAAACATCTACATGGTTATATTATATCTTGAAAATGTGTCATCGAAATAATGGGGTTGATTCCGAGGTGCTATTTCTCTAAATTTATCCTTTAACCTTATAATTTAATTTTATAATTTCGCAAAATTACTGTTTTATGGATCACCATAAACTAAAATTACAATAATTTTGACTTAAGTCTATTATAAAATGAGTTCATATTGAAATTTTTATTATAAAGATAGCTTTAGAGAAAGACGACTTAGAATCGATCCCAATATTTTTTAAATTAAATATGTTTACTGTGCTTAATCTAATTCATGTCAGTCAGACATAGACAGATTATCGCTGTCATGAATGAATGACAGCTGAGGTTGACAGTCAATCGGTGGATTGGATTCGTATTTTATCGAACTCCTGCTTGTATTGTTATAATTTTTAGTTTTTAAAGTTTTAAAAAAAATTGTTTTTAAATTTGGGATCGGCTGTAACGAGCGACAGATATTTAAATATCAATAAAACTCAAACAAATGTAAACAGCAAAATTCTTCAAAAAAATTCACGACATTCTTAATCAATAATGGGAGACGGACAGATAGAAATCGGTTTGAATATTTTTTTTTCTACTTCTAGTTTATTAAGTATTGAATCTGCGTTTAAATTAGTTTATAATTTCAGATGACTATGAAATGCTGAAAGCATTATATGATTTTGAAGCTACTCTAAGTAAGACCTTAAGTTTCTCTGAGGGAGATTTTTTCTTTCTTCAACAACATAATACTAAGCAAAGAAACTGGTGGTATGTCATAAACAGAAAAGGTCTCGTTGGATTTGTTCCTTCAAATTATGTGGCTTCAGTCAAGGTAAGGCTAACCCTTAAATTGTTGTTCTTTAACCCCATGTTTTTATTAGGATTTAATTTTGGTTTTTAATTATAATATGTATTTGGTGTTGTTCATGTCTATACGCGAAGGTTACCATTTTTCATTTGTCAGGTGGCCCTTTAATTTGTTTGTCATTCAATGTTAGATAAAAAAAAAATTAAGGAGCAATTAAAAAAAATATAAAAGTAATTTATTAAGCTCAAATGAGTAGGAAAGTTTGTCAGGAGCCATTCTAGATAAATGTATATTTAACAAATAGGTAACATATATAGAGATAGATTATATGAAAAACACAAGAAACTAAATTTGAGTTTAATTGTTGTTTTTGAAATTGTTTCTGCCTACCTTAATTGAAGACAAAAATGATATAAATATATATATTATAAAAGATATTATTTATAATTGGTCGTAAAATGAAGAATTTGTTCCCTTTTTTTTATATATTGTTGTTGATAGCAATGGAACTATTTGATCCCTAATAATACCTTTTGCCCTGGCTTGTATGCTTTTTTAATTTTGATGAGGGGCACCAGTGAGGGATGATAAGTGAAAATGAAAAATCAGATCAGTTAGTCCATCGTGATTCCAATACATTTGGAATTCAGCTCAATGGTTTCCAGGATGACCACAGGGAGGTTGACCTGTTAGGGTATATTGTTAGCAATGGGAGTGGGAATCTACATTGCTAGCAATCCATTCACCCCTGGTTAAGTATGTGGTTCTGGATATGAATTTATTTCTTTTTGTGTAATTGTGCCTTCCTACAAAACAGACAATATCAATTTAGGAGTTAAGTTAAAAGTGATTGTTAAATTTTAACATACAATTTACTTGGTAAATTAGAATAGTGATCTGTGTTGTGGATCTGCTCTATAAATTGCTAAAATATATTCCACAAAGCTATACAACTATAAATAATTCACTATACTCCTAATATCATATAGTCAATATAGCCATGACTATTAATAGCCTGTTATAACAGGATAATTGAAACCAATTATCCTAGTTCTAACAATTAAGGTCATCTTAAAATAATGTACTATGCTCAAACTGACTATTGTAAAACTGTATTTACATATCTATAAATAAATCATCTATTTATGAATTATTTTTTATTTACCTATTATATATATTCTATTGTATACATGGCATTGCAGGATTTAAAAATTTTTCAACTATTACAAAACAAATAAGCTATGAAGATACATAGTATGATGATTTTATTAAATAAAAATCCATACACATTATATTATTTATGTCAGTCATTATATTAAATAGATAATTAAATAGTTTCTTGCACTGTAAAAAAATATTATATAGATATTAAAAATTATGATAAAGATATTATTATATAGCTGGATATATGTATATAGATGTATTATATTAGAATGAAAAGTATGGATAGAATTACTAATCTTTTAAAGTTCTCTTGAATCTTTTTAGAGAAATCTTATAATAATGTCTGTAATTTATGATTCCTACTAATATAAATGTAAATTTGTCTGGATCAATTACACTTATCAATTTAGGCTCCGAAAATTATCTCATATTGTTTACAAAGAGAGTATTGAGTCCAAAAATATTCAATAGGAGTTTTCCAGAATGATACAACAGTGTTGCATTGACTTGTAATAAATGTACATAATACCCTCATGTACATTTATTACTAATGTTTCAGTACTATAATCTAGAATCAGCAAATGACCTAATGTAAACTTGCTCTAAAATTAATCTATATATGTATTTCAATTTTTCACTCAGGTTGAGCCTGAATTCTTTTTGGCATTTATTAATGATTGCATTAAAAATATAAATGAAAATAATGCAACATCGCCTCAGAAACAAGAACTATTAAGTAAATTGAATGAAAAGAAAAAGCAAATACAACTGATAGTGAAACCACAAAGCAAGAAACCACCCGCTCCGAAACCTCCACAGAGATTAGATGACAGTACACCTCCTAATGGAGTATCTCCCTCCTTTGATTTGCGACCAGTAGTATCACAACAACAAATATCAGAAGACAGGGAATCTCAATCTCCTCCCAAATCCCTTAACAACAGCTCGAAAGGTATGACATTACTTATTTCAAATTTAGTATTTTGTTCCTGTATACTATTTATTCTCTTTCTCTCCTGTTCGAAAATAAGCATGTGTTAATATTACTATTGTACATATGATGTAAATGTGAAAGTTTGTAAAGATGTTTAGATGTTTGTAACACAATCATGTTTAAACGAAATTAAATTTTATACATAAGTAAGTTATATCCTAACTTGATGCATAGTATACTTTATTATACTGATTTATACAGACAAAGCCGCGGGAAATAACTAGTAATATTGTAGAATACTAGAAATTTTACTGTAAAGTACAACAATTATGTGCTGACTTAGATTGGTGTAAATTCAGACTTAGAGGCTCAGTAGGTGTTATTAAGATAAATTTAATCAAAATAATATTTCAGCCTTTATACTGGCATTGTATAAAATATGATATTAATGTGCTATTGGTATTCTCTATGAGTTATTAGGCTGGGGTACAAAGGGTTAATGACCAAGTCACTCATCCTTTAAATGTATGTTAAAATATATAAACAATTGTTAATTAAATCCTCATTTTTAGACATTGATGATGCAAGAATGAAGGGTACAGTCACTAAGACAGGTTCTAACCAATTGTCATCTGATACTGATGACCAAGATGATAGTCAAGACAGCAGTAAGAGTATTAAACCAAATGCTATATATGAGATAGTGCAAGCTGTACGTAAAGAGACACAACTCAGCCATGAGATGTCCAAAGTTGCTGTTGAAACTGTTCTAATTTCTTTGAGGGTAAGACTTTATTACGTAATACACTTCAATAATTGCAATAAGATAATTCACATTTCTATTTTGAAATGTTATGTAAACTATAAGTATGTGTATAGTTAGGAAGATGTTTACTGTACAATTGGCAATGTCTACATTCTTTCAAAGCTTAAATGTATAGAATTTTTAAAAATTCGATAGTATACAAAGTATTATTGTCATAGTTGATGATCTTCATATTAAATGCTGCTATGGGTAAATGCACGCTGTAAAAATCTTATAAATAAATGGGAAGCTCCATTGGTTTTTCTGCGAGTTTTATTGCTATGCCACTGAAAACTAAAAGGTAAATAAAATACAATAAAAAATAAACGATAAATAACTATCATAAGTCAGACTGTATTGTAATTATTTATATTGCCTTTACTTACTTTTTAAAATTTGGGGATGCCCGACTAGTTTCGAACTCGGTATGAGCCCTTATTCATAAGCGCGGTTCGCGGCTGTGTGTAGCACTGTAAATCCGATATAAGTAATAGCAATATCAAGCGTCTTAAAAACCAAAAAAATTAAACTTTCTTAGTTATCCACAATAAAAAAAACATAATTTTACATTAAAATAAGAACACTTATTTACAATTATTAGGAATTTCTTCCTGGTGGAGCTGCGAGGTCTATTATTGATGCACTCCTTCGAGAAGCAAACAGCAACATCACGTGTCCGAAGAATGCTATCGATGCGGCACCAGACGCACTCAGAATGATGACTGCTCTAAACGCTCTCTCCAAAGCGGCCAATGATGCCCAGCAAAGAGGCTGGGCGTTGCATGATGATGCTCATGATATACAAACACAACTTTTGGAGCTAATATCTGTTATGGTATATATATTTATTACTTGAACATTAATTTGTAAACTGTGCTTGTGATTTCACATGACCAGGATAAAATGTAGCCTCTATATGCCAAATATGATAAATAGTTGGACTATTAAAGCATTAAGAGGTAACAAATTAACATTTATAATGTTAGTATACTACTACTCCCAATTTTTCTTAACTCAGTTTGATATACACAAAATTATATTGTAGTTTAAGCTTGAACTTATCTCAATTGTACAAGATATATGCACATTCTGAAACACGGTTGTGGGAATATGTGCTAAAGAACATGAGCAATTAATATGTGACTGGGTATTATTAATTTACATAAGTAAATTAACAATACTAACTACATACTGTTAATCATAGATTCTATTTATAGTGGCTTTATTTCAAAATTAATATTCTAATGTTTGTCTTTCAGTCCAATGCCGACGTGAATATCTCGCAGCATGTACTCAGCAGTCACCGCTATGCATATGTCACTACTCTGGTTCAGTACTACCAGATGGAAACAAGATGGCCTCTAAGACAGCTGCTATTGCAGGTAAAAAAATTATAACTATTTTTTTACATTATAAATATAATTTGGTATATAAGTATGTCATATTCTTAAATCTATCAGAATTCAGGCAACATTAATGACGCTCGTTCAGAGTCACAAAATTGTCATTGGGAACAACACAGACCAGATAGTCAAGCTCAAATAGCTAATCAGCCTAGAATATTTAAAAATAGCCAAGTGCACGTTTTGTTTAAGGCATTCGGTGTCATGTGCGGATTAGAACGTACAGCGCTCGCTACTCTGGCACTGTCAGCCTTACCAGCGGAGATAGCTCGAGATATGCGCGACAACCCTCGCGCTGTCAGCCGCCTGTCACATTCCGCTCTACTGCTCTCTATGGTCTTGTCTATGGGCGATAAACTGCCAGTCACACATTTCGGTAAAATTATTTATTATTTATTACAGTATTTTACTTACTTTATAACAATAATATTATTTTTAAAATCACCAAAATAGCTGGTAAAATTCATTTGTTGTTGTGAAACATTTAAAATTGTAAACAATGATCTCTATTCCATTTGCTTCAGATGTATATAAACGAAGAATTATTGTAGATTGTAATCTACCTACTTCTAAAAAAAAGAGAAATGTTTGATTGATCTATCCTTTGATGACCAGAATTAATATTCTAATTCTAATGTAATCTTGTAATTTCTATTATTTTCAGAACAACTAGGCGTAGAATTCGCCCAATTTCTTCTAGAACTTATTGAAGACCCACCAGAAACAGATGTCGATGAACAAATTCCTGACTTATTTTTGACTCTCTTGCTGGCCTACAATTTGCAATTCGAAAATCCAGTCGATAATCTCCTACTTAATGCTTTAGAAACCAGAGACAATGCCAAAACATTTTGTGAGAAGATCCTTTTAATTCTTAATCGTGAAGGTAAATGTGGTTTTTATTTATTATTATTTCAGAGGTTAACTCCACTACTGAACAACACTTTTACCAGAGAGAGACTTTGTACAAAAGTCGATTGCTTGGTTACCTCTGTCCCATTTGTGTCTCAACCGTAAAGTAGTTGTGTTGGCATGGCTGTGTTTCGGTTTAAAGGGTGGGAAGGGTGGCTTTAATTTACGGAGGAATAACACCTGAGTCTTCAGGAATGGCAATGCATGGGGGGTATCATGGGCGAAACAATATACTCTGTTATGTTAATGGTACTGCTCATGTCTATAGGCGACGGTTATTACCTTCCATCAGGTGGGCCGTTAGCTTGTTTGCCATTCTAAGTTGTATAAAAAAAACATTAGCCTTTCCCATAAGGGGAGTTTTGCCCCACTTTATCGCTTCTTACGCCACCCACGGGAAAAGAAGGGGTGGTCCATTCTATACCTATACAAACTACAAAATACATTTTAATAGTGTCTCTCATAATAATTGTTATCAATTAAATTAACATATCGTTTTACTTTTTAAACGAAACTTTAAGAGAAATATAATACAAACAGTAACATAACCTTGTATGCTATAAACAGAAGATCCAGTGCACCTATTCGACCACGAGCCCGCGCCGCCACACTCCGTGCTCAAACTGGTCATAGATCTATTTAGCCGCAAGAAGACTGCTGACCACTTCTATACTAATGATGTCAATGTGGCTATAGATATCATTGTTAGACAACTAGCTGACTTATCGCCTGGAGATACGGTATTTATTGCTTTATACACGCTCATTTTATTCTTAGTTCAATGATTGATTATAATATTTAATACTAAAATAGATTACTCTCAATTTATCGTTGCACATACATTTAATTAATGTTTATTTTTCAATAATGAAAAAGCTTATTTCCACTAAAATAGTGATTGCAAACAGCTGATAAATACATAAATTAAAGAGAAATTATTTATTAATTATATATTACTAATCTGATTATATTTATTGTTAATGTTAATCTGATTTATAATTTATATTAAAATCAATTCATTCCAGCGCCGCCAACAATACCTCAGGATCCTTCAGGGCATCATACGTAATACTGACTACGGAGCTCATCTGCACCGTCGTCAAGATCTCCTTCGGTGCTTCGCGCGTATCTTTTGTGAGGAGGTGGAGGCTAGCCGCGACGACCAGGCCCTCGTCCGCGCTATATCCAACGAGTTCCCGCAGTACTTCAAGGCCTAAGGTTTGAACGCCATGTATAGATGTAATCTATGAAATGAAATCTCTATGGTGCATTGTCGTAGAGATATTACGTCGCCATACGCAGTTTTAGTCTGGTAGTAGGTATGTACCTAATTGGCTGTGTCGATGCTGATTCGCCTCGCGTTAATGTTCAGCGTACGTACCATGAGTTTTCGATTGGTTTTTTATGAGATGAAAATAATACTTTACAAGGACAGTTTTAATCCCGATCGTATAGTTAGGAACTACAAGATATCGATGAACTCATGGTAGGCGCACAGAAGTATGTTATGCATGTAATGTCGTGTGATGTGTGCAGAAAGATCTCGGTTTATCATTCAAAAAATATAAATTTCCGTATATGTCAAACTTTGATTGTATCCAATGAAACTGATTTAAAACTATATTTGCTTATGACTATATTCTATTTTTTCTGTATTACTACATAGGGATAAGTATTCGCACAATTCGAAGCATTTATTCTGGTATTTCTAAAATTTTCGATATTAGAGCTGTAGACAACGAATTATTCTGTCTGTTTCAATATAAGAGTAATGAAAAATCCTTTTAATCGATTAAGTATTTAAGAGATATTTATTTTTTTACTTTTTTTTGTGTTAATGATTATCCAGTAATATTGGAAATATTGTATTATAAAAATTTAATTCTCATACTTATGGATTATTACTTATGAATAAGTTGCATATGTGTGCCATTTATATTACCCCACCAAAGATTATAATATAGTTTCAATTCTTCTCAAGTCTTAGTCAAAAATCCTGTAGTCAATTATTATATAATGTTCTAAATAATTATCCCATCTCTTGTTTTTTATATAGTTTATATATAAATTCGGTGACATTAATCCTAAATAATTGGGCCTAATTTTAATTTTTTTTAGATCTATAAAATTTGAGATTAAGATTCTAGAAATAAATATTCAAATTCTAAAATATAAAGTATAAAAAAAATGAACTTACAAATTAATAGATAATGAAAATATGTCGGTATTTTTTGTCAACATACATTAAAATAGATAACTTACTTGTTACTAGCTATATGACAACAACAAATGTGTATCCATTATATAGAATTCGATAGCTGATTATTCTGAATATATTAATAAAAACTAAGTCTACAATACAAATATATCCCATGTTATATTATTGTGTACTTACTACAAATACAGAGGTAATATTTTTGCAAGTTAAATTAGGATTCACACCAAAAATAGTCATTTACATGTTACATAGGCATATCCAATGCACAGATTTTGAATTTATATTTCCATATTACTCGTAAGTTGTTTATGATAGTATTAAAATGTAATCAATTTTAATTTTAAATTCATCATATTGATTTATGGCTTTAAATAACTTTTAAGTATTATGCGCTTTTTTACTGCTATTAAAATGGGTTGTCTAAAATACTAAACACTGAGGACAATTCTTAATAAAGTATCCAGTTTTGAATGTTTGTCGACTTCCATTCCTGTGGGAATTTATTTCTATGCTTGTTACATAAAGAAATTCTAGGCAAAATTGTATGCCTCTGAACCCACCAGTTAAGGCTGCTAATTGTTTATCCGTTAATATTTTCCATACTTTTGGGATTTATTTTTAATACAGAAGTATTACAGCATTTATATTCATTATGGGTCTTTTTTCATTTCATTTAGCTACATACATAGATTTTTACTAATTTATATTTAAAACAGTATTACATTTCGATAAATTCGAAAACTTCCAATTACATTTAATCATTATGTATATAATTGCTTATACAGTTATATTAGAAGACCTTGATGGCGTAGCGGTTTAACACACTGTCTCAGTATCCACTGATTGCAAATTTGATCTCTGCACAATATTTGTATTCCAGAGTCTATCTGCTTACATTGATCTGTTCATTTTTTAAATATGTATTTAATAAGAAGTGGGCTGATTTTCTATCAGATCTCTCTCATATATTTGCATTGTTGTATTTTGTTGCTTAATTAAAAAAAAATCCTTAAAATTGAGTTGTTGGTGAACAATAATATGTATTGTGATTGTCCCTATCAATATATAGATTTGAGGCATGTTTGATGATTTAAATATATTTGCCTAGAAATTTTAATTGATCTGTAACTGTGATTATTGTAAATTTGGAAAAAATTTAGATCAACAGTAGTACAAGTTCATGTTCTAATATTGTCTACTTATTGACCAAAGTTTCAGGGTCTATGTTGTAATGATTAGTTATATATTAATGCTAAATGATATAGCATGTTAAAAATAGCACGTTAAATTCTATCACAGATAATAATTATAATTGTTAACATAATTTCTTAAAACGACTATAGCATGGGCACTATATTGAGTTATCCAAAAATAAAAACGTTCTTCATAATATGAAATATTATTAAAATTTCTATAAATTTATTGTTATTTAAAATATTATGTTATTATTCTTAATTGTAACTTTGTGATTTATTTATACTTAAATTTTTAATGTTTTCATTGCTTATATTTTATTATTTATATCCACGCCTTGTCATTACATTGTAAAAAATAAAAATGTACTTATTAAAATTGTTATAGGTACTTCATATTTTAAAATGCATTTCCAATATTTACAAGTTTATGGAGAAATTAAATATTTACAATGTTGCGCCTAATTTAATATTATGTAGATAATAATAGCAATCGCCCTCAATTAACTTTTGGAATGTGCTCAACATTGCAGCCAAATTTTTGTAGTTACATACTAAAATGTGGTATTTTATTGTACTAATTATACTTTAAAAGCGTTTACACGTCGGTCTTTTGCATTTCATTTGAGACATTTATGGTCTTTTAACTATTATTGATATATAATTTTTCACAATAAACGCAGTACTATATAAATGTATGTACATACATGTACGTACATGTGATGGTATGGTGGTTGTCCATAATCAGGGTCTAAAAAACGGTTCTGCTTCAAACAAAACATTCTTTGAGTTATGCCGTCATTTACTTATTCTATTAAAGCATTTAATGCCTCATGCAAACAGGACTTTCCTTAATCAGTACTTTTAAAAAAAGGTACTACAATTATTTATCCTCATTTATTGATATAATAAAGAAAACGTTTTAGTATAAAACTTATATAATTCAAAATACATTATGTGATATAGGTGCAAAAAACCAAATTTGAAGTTTCTACTCCCCTGATTACGGTTGACTGTACCATCGCCATTTCACTGAATCTATACGCGAAGCATAGATTTTATGAATGTGTAATAATTTGAAGTTCTACTTCTTGTTTGCAACTCTTAAATCTTATAATTCAAGGATCGATGTTATAATAAATCTACTTGTATCTTTTTAGCTTTTCTTGCGCAAACCACTTGCTGTATGATACAATATAGGAAGGTTGTCATATATATGTATGAAAAATAAAAGTGTTCTATCATTCATTATTCTATTATTGTCTACAATTTCAACAAGTATGTATTATAAATATTTCTAGAATGAGCATGTTGTCATTATACAATGGATGGTAAAAATCTATTACCAAAATGTTCTGATTTTTTATTTAATTTTCTCTTAACAAATGTTAGTCTTTTTTACTTTAAAAAATCTATTTATATTCTACAAAACATACGCTAACATGATTTAAGATTATTTACCTATCCCGAAAACCCCAAGGAAGATGATATATGTAAGTCGACATGGATCAATCAATAATATCATGGTATATTAAATAACTGCCGTGTGGCCCCGACACAGAATGGGCCAACCCTTCCTTTCCCGTGAGTGTCGTAAAAGGCGACTAAGGGAACTTAAACGGAATGGACAGCAGTGTCCCTCTTAATACATTACCAAAGCCTAACTGCAGTTGCCAGTCCGCTTGCCAAGCGTGACAGCAGCCTATGTTCAGCAGTGCACAGTTTACGGCTGATATGATGATAATATTAATTTCTGACATTCTTTGTTCTTAACCGTCTTCAGTAACCATCTGTCGCAATTTTATGTTCTTATCGCTAGATGACACTAAGTTATTTACCGCTGAAATTTAGTAATCGCACGATCAAAACTTATAACTTTTACTTATCGAAGAATTGCAATGTTGCAGTTATCTGAAATTTTCAAAACATTTTCAATGTTTATGACTAATTTATTTAAAAATGCTCAGCTAGCGAATAAAAACATTAATCACAGAATTGCATATAATCATTCAAATAAATATAAACATTGTATATAAATCTACCATTAAAAACTTTACATTTACTTTAAATTTTGCTTCGGGATTTTGTCTACAAAATACAAATTTTCAATGACAATTAGAATATTAATGCATGATTATTTCATTCACTAGTAGAGCAATTTTTAAATTGATTAAGTGGTAACATTGTAAAATGTTCAATTGTTTTTGAAAATTGACAGATGATGATTGACCATACTTTAATATCATTTCAGCCGTTAACCTTTCAACTGTGTCATGCACAATGGTGGAAAATCCACATCTGTGGCGTCTCGTGAGCGGACTTTACACAGACTAGGTATTTTAAGCGTATAGGTTTAAAAAAACCTGATTTTTCCGAAATCTAATTGGAATTATACAAAATTCAGATTAGATTTATATTCCAACTAGTTTCTATATGTAATTTCTTACACTACACTCGACTTGAATTGCATTGCAATGGTTCTATTAGAAATAAAATGAGGTCACCTATAAATTACCTTTTATTTTTCTATTATTAAAAAACTAAGACCATGCAGAATGTAAAATTATATATTTTTTGTACAATATTATATACTTGATAAAATAAAAATAAAATGGCTTATGTTCCAATACATTTTTTTATACAGCACTTGTTTATAAACATGGACCAAAAAAGTCTCTCTTCAATTGACACTTAAGTGGGTCTCCTATGTTATTATTTTACATACATTCTTGACGTCAGGGACAAGAGGTGGTTTGTTTACAATAATTTAAGCTTGTTTCGACAAAACACTGTATATGTCATTATTATTTATATGTCCTCTAAGCGGACTCGACACAGATGCGCATTTTTTGTTTGCGTTTTTTGCGCACAGTTGAGAGGTTAACTATCCACTGCTGGACATAAGTCTTCCCTGTTTATTTTTTTATTTTCGATGAGTGAAAATGGTATGGTAACCCCGCCTGCGCTAACGGGATACACTGGCGGAGCACGAGTGAAGGGTGATCTATGAGAATGAAAACAGGCCAGTTAGCCGATCGTGACAAATTTATCAATGAATCAATATTTTTTTTTTTCAATTTTACGACGCTACCGCTCATCCCTCTACTATTAAGTTGTTTAAGTGGCGAACGACACCCACAGGAAAGGAGGGGTAGCCTATTCTATGCCGGAACCACACGGACTCTATGCCTTTATACTTCGTTTTGGACGCTCTTAATCATAGACTTAGTATAGCGTACAAAGCTCTTAATTGCCCATTTGACATTTCAACAAGTAGTTTTGCGTAGGAACCATCCTTAACATTACGATTTAGCGTTAATGAAAACGGGTACTAACATGCAACAGGAATCGTTTTACATATTGGTACCTATTTTTATGGATATTTTTCTTTGGGGAGATAAATAATACAACATATACTTTAATACAAGTATTTTAATGTACCATATGAATGCCGTATAAATATTTCAAAATTTAAAACAGTGATAAAATTCATATTAACCAATACTACAACTGCAGTCAACTCAACTCAAAATAATATTTCAATGATAATTTACAGCAAATATATAAAGAAATGTACAATTTGTAATCTCATGTAGGTATGTATATCAAATCGCAACTTATTTGTATAACTGAAAATAACATTTCTATATACTCTTAAATATTACATCAATAAGCAGGTACTATAATAAATCTCTTGGTGTATTTCACAAATGAATTACATTTATTCGTTTACAAATCGGTAAATAGTGGTCGATCCTAATAAGAAAATTTAAATCTGTGACCGCTGTACAATCGGGGAATCTATAATAATATAAAAACTTGGCCCCAATATTTCAAAGGGATCCACAAAAACTGGAATATTTAAAATTTGTAAATACTCTCGCAAAAATCATCACAAATCCTGTAGTCAGATATAAAAGGACCTACTTATGAATGAATGCAGTCTTAACGGATTGTATATTTTCAAAAAGAATGTTTGAAAATCATTTTGTGCCTCCTTGGAATGCAAATTTATAAAAACACTATGTTTTCATAAATCTTAATTACTTAATAGAAAACACGACGCACTACATAATGAAATAATATGTAGATAATCCTCTTATAAAATTAAACACCTTGAGCATTATCCTATAATTATTGATAAACATGCTACATGTATTTATATATATGTACGTAATAATACATAGTAATAATTGATTATAACAAACATGACCACTTGATTTTACATCGAATTTGGCAACTTGGATGAACACTTTGTATAAATACACAGTAGTCAATCGTTTGTAAAGACGTGACGCAAAACAGACGTTTTACGACGCAGACACATATAGGGTTCTTGTTTTCTTTTTACAAGTCCTACCTACTGGTACTGCCGTCTGTCCGTGTGTCACATATATCTAGCTCGTAAATGGAATGAGTTACAGGCCCGACATTTGAATATTTTATAGAATATTAATAAAGAAATTACTATCTTTTTCCTTCAGAAACTAAAAGGCCGTCAAAGTTGTCACTTTTAGACCAGTTTTTATAAGATTTATTTGCAAATATAAACTATTTAGGAATTTCATGTTTCTGAAATTATATTTGAACAACAATTAGTGATAAGTCGATTCAGCAAAATTATAGCTTAAAGATTTTTTCGTTGACAGTTAAACAACATAGTCATGTATGTACGGAAACCTTTAGAGCGATACTTGACTCGCACTTGGCCGGTTTTTATATACCTTAAGTATTAATATTCCTTATCGAATTAATAGTAATAAATAGACGAAGTTATAATATCTAACAAAAACTTTGAAATATTGCAAATGGAGTCGTCATAGGGCAATTTATGTTTTTATTTTATCGATATACGATTTCGTACTCGTTTAATAAATATTTAAATGGTATAATACTACAACTCATCACATTCTACAACTATCGAACACTCGCACGTTACATTAATTAGATTAAAAATTATATACAAGTTACATCTAAATTGTCTTAACTAAAACCTACTTTAGGGCTGATACCAAAATTCCATAGGTATCTAAAATGTGTATGGCCTCTGAAATATTCGTTTGAAATTGATAATTCAATGTAGGTAGGTATATATTGCGATCTATTGGCTCGTGTACATCAACTCAACCATTACACACACCAATTCCATACCTTACACACGGCAAATTACTGAACTAACTCTACCGCTAATTTACCACAGAACAGCGAGTACAATGGATGTTGAAGTGGAAATGAATGCGTTTATTGTTGACCGATTTCATATTTTATTTTTCAATTTATGATTCTCAAAATTTACACTTTCATGTCCAATTCAATTGAAATAGTATCATTTAACTTCATTTCTAGTAATGTATACATGTCCACGGAATTGAAAAAAAAATCAATACGTGTTCCAATCTACATCAGTCATATAATTTTTGACTACTGGCAGTTTCCAAATACCTACATTAATGCGATATTTTTAAAATAAGAATTTATTATGATCACTGATCTTTTGTTTCAATAGATTAAAAATATCGGATTTTAATATAGGCAAAGGAAATATAGATTAAGACGGAGTGAAATATATTATCTAAAAATTTCAAAATGGAACGATGCACAACCGCAAGGACAATCATACAATGTTACCGAGATAATTTGTATAACCTAAAGTTAACAAATTGAGCTAAACAATGTCACAATAACCAATAAACTTTAATTTCGCTATAAAACTTAATTGAATTTTCTAAACACCATTAAAATGTTTGAGTTCCATGTTATTTAACGATGTCTTTTTCTATTCATTTATTCATGAAATTCATTACTTACAAATAAAAAATGGAAGATACCGTCCGAATTTATGCTTATTAGAGAAATTACTTAGTCATGGTGTTCTTACTTATTAATACTGTAAGCATAAAATCGAAGGTAAGTCGATTGAAAATGTTAAATAATATTTCATTTAGAGACAAACCACGGCATCATGTAAAAGGTGATTTTTAAAGAATTCTTTACATCTTAGTCGCTTATATTAATCCATTAAAGTTATAAAATTTTATGGAAAATAGGAAACCCTCGTTTTATTCATAATGTTTTAAGTTCTTAGACGTTCCCGATTTTTTAAAGTAATGGACACCATTAAATGATCAAGTAACGTTACGTCGCGGTGTCGTTCGATTACAACTGTATTTTACCTTAAGTTTAGTACCATAGTACATAGCTGGCTTTTATTTTTATATGTAAGCGATGTCACAACATTTATTAGACCTTTTAATAGAAATCAATCGTCAACCATTTCTTTACACTGCAGTTAGTTAGCAAGACGTAAGTAATTTGACAGATGTTCATTTTAATTTTAGTAAACAATTATCTAAAATTTTGATTCAGCTGAAATAACTATTTCAATTTTATACAAAAAAAACTCAATGAGTATATTAACACTGGTTACATCATAAAATAGAAAGGTATTGTACTATAATTAAATAAAATTTAATACTTCGAAAAACATATTTATATAGATATAGAGAATGAAATCGTGTAGATTTCCAATAAAACTGAACACTCCCCAAATAAACATGGGTGGAAAAAGCATAAATAATTTGAGCCTTTCACTAGCACGATCTGTATAGCTCAACTCAACTGTAGGTTAACTTAGTATAAGAAACATAACTCTAAAGAATGTTAGAATTTCGATTTCACCCTGCATATCAGAAAATATCGTTGTCAAATTACCCATACGAATGCAATATTCCGTTGAAATGAGCCGGGTTTGTCACCGAACTACCATATGTTATTGCTATGGTGTAGTCGTTGATTGTTAAAAGTTTAGCTCGGGTGTTGAGCGGCGACCTTGCGCAGACGGTAGCCACCGGTCCCGCGGACCGTGAACAGCACCACCACGGCGACAGCCACGATCGACATTCCGATGGCGTTCACCACGATAGACTCCTCGGTCAGCGACGAGTATTTCTCTGCCCTGCACACCGCATGCCCCAGGGTTAGTATTCAGATATAAAATATATTCATTTTCCTAACAGGAAAGCAGTACTTGTTCTACCATTAGTTATTATTTAATTTAACTATAATACATTTCCTAACACTCAGTTTTTGTTGCACTAATTATACCTATATATATAATCTCACGTGAGTTTTCAGATCGTAAGACTGGCAACATTTATACCTTAACCGTCTTACGATAGTAAATATTAAACCATTTAAACTTTTTCCTTCATTCATTATTTTCAATTTATCAATGTGGACAATATTCAGCTCCAAAGATATTTTATATTTATAATAAATCCCGTATTTTCTTTTTTTTTTATATTACTTAGACAATATACTAACATACTTTGTCACATGACGAAATTCTATAAAAACTTCGACACTATCTCAAAATATCTCAGGAATGTTCCACATTCACTGTTTAAAGTCTGTTAGGTTAAATTGGTAAGCTATTATTTCTTTTATTAAGCGTCTCCACTTCATATGCAACTAATAATAAATAGCAGATATTAAGATTCATTAAATAGTTCATTTCAAAACCTACATATGTCACTCACCAATCTTAAACTATACCAAATAATTTAATTTCTGTAACTTCAGCAAATACAGAAACAACACCAAATATTATACGTACCTGTATAATTAGACAATATATTTTAAAAAGACCAAACAAAGCCACTACCCCAAAACATACAAGCTGTTTTTAGTAAACAATTAATTAGATAATGATAATGAGATATATATATAATACAGATACTTATATACTTACACCGTTATATGAATAAAACATGCATAAGATCTGATAAACAGGAATAAATATAGTAATTATACACACAGCACAAATACAGAAAGCACTATGCAGATTAAAACTCATCTTGTACCACATAAATATTTTATTTTAATTCAACAATTTAAATTATTTTTTATTCTATTTGTATAAAAAGTATGTTTAACACAGTAGTATTATTATTTCTAAAAATTAAAAAAAAAATATGATGTATAACAATACCTATCTTTAAATTAAGTTTAACTAGGTCTGATACAGACCATCAATCTTGTAAAAGATGTAGCCTCATCTGTGAATATTATTGGACCATAAACAAGATTCAAATTATGATATTTAAAAAAATATTCCTGAATCATTCAATAAGGCTAAAAAAAAAACCAATAATTTTATTTAAGGTAGTTAGAAATACATAAGTAGCTATAAAAGACTCCATTGGCGACAGCTTCATGCTTTTTCAATTTTAAATATGAAACTCTTTTGGTCATTTCTAAATTATTATAAAAACTGGTTCCGTGTTTCATTACAACCAGAACATTTATCATAAAAGAACAAGGTTCTCATAAGTCGACCAGCCTATTAGCAGCATAGATATCATTGTCTTGTGGGAATGCAAATTACGCAACGAAATACGTGCTCGTAGATTTACTTTTTCTTTAAGCCAAGAAGCCAATTCATACAGACTACTCTGTAATCAAAAATAAAAATTTTGATCTGTTTTTTGTAGTGTATCGCTAATTTTAATAACAGACTGCTTTATCTATTTAATTTTTACATAAATATCCATACATTTACATAATAGAACTTATTTATGCTTATTTATTTTAATTACTTACCTAATATTTATTTCGTATTTGTTTTGATAGACACATTTTATATGTATCTAAGAATTATTAACTAATCTTTATATCAAAATATAATATAAATTTACTCTGTTATGAGCAGGTAGGTACTTGTTTTATAAAATATAGGCACTAATAAATAATCTCAGAATTAAAAAAAATTACGAAAAATATTTTAAATCGTTCGTCAAATAAATTTAAGTTGGAAGACTAAGGCACATCATTCTGTTTTGCAAACATAAAAATAAAAAAATAACTCCTATGTAATCCTTCTAAATAAACCTATGACTATTAGATATTGTGAAATCTAAAGGTCAACTGAAGCTCTTATGTGTCCATCTCGCGTCTCAGGTGCACGGAACTTGTCTCTCGAGAGGATGTACATGACCACGGCCAGGATAGCGATCATGGAGACACCAATCGTGTTGAGGATAACTGCTTCGTCCACCAGCGCGCTGTACCTTTCGGTGCTGCAATACGTACACATACAAGCAACTGACACAAAACAGGCAATAGAAACGTAAAACAAAAACAAAAGATGACGGTTCATGCGATGATTTTAGTGCATAGATGCAGTATTACCACAGACTACGTACAGAGTTCAAGTTTTATACATCTGTTGGTGCCAATGTAATTGTAATCTTTCTAAAAATTTAAAATTACGAATATTTAACTTTATTATATGCAAAAAAACCTTTTGTTTCAAATATTAAATTAATTAATACTAATTCACATTACCATATAAGAATCATGCCGCATGCACTAGTTTCCTACTTTACCTTCTTTCAACCAACTGAAATATTGATTGAAGCTTGAACTTTGTACCAAAATTTTCTTGCATATAATGCAATGTATTCGTAATGTATGTAATTGGAGAAATTGCATGTATTATTTTACTCCATTAGAAATCTCATAAAAAAACTGCTGAAGAAGTTCCACCGCATTCCACTCATGTCATTAACAACTTTTTTAAAATAAAATTACTAAGTGACCTTAAAATAACTAGTTATATATCTTTTAAATAATCCAAGAGATTACTTAAAATTTCTTTATGAACAAATGCATATAACATTCTCCAATTACATAGTAAAATACTAAACTGAAATCTAAATAGTAACAGACACAAACTACAAGGCATAAATGTCCATTGTTGGAAGTGTATAAAATTTACGTACCCTATATCAAAGAGTGCTTTCTCGGTAAGACCAGTGAGGCAAGCAGCAACACCGAGCACGAAGGTCAGAATACCGAAGGCAGCGTGCACCGGGACCAGGGAGGCACGGAAACCAGCTGTGCCTTTGTTGCAGATCAGTAGTAGGAGAAAGCTGAAGAAACCGACTGCGTACTAAACACATAAAAAAGATTTATTACTTTTTATTATACCTTTTAATTATTTATCGAACTTATGTTTATGCAATAGTCTATACTATTACCGTGTAGTTTCGGCATAGATTGGGCCATCTGTCTCTTTCCCGTGGGTGCCAACCCGTCTGCCAAGCGTGGCAACTATTGATAAAACCCCCCTTATAGGATAAACCTATATTTAGCAATGAACCAATAACAGCCAATATGAATGAATGAATCGTATAGGATGTTTACAGGTTAAAACATAATCTCACGCGTATATACCAAAGAAGAGGTAGACAGAATGTCAAATTAACTATTCTACTTCTGGTGACATCTCGCCCATGTTAAAACTGTCCTACCAGTGGCCAACAGAGACCAGTCACTAGGGCAAAATTTACATGACTTGCCTATAATGAAACCGTTAGAATTCGTATTACGAAGACCTAGGAATGTACTTGCAAGTAATATATCTGTAGGTGCTGTACTCGTTTATTATATTAATTAATCAAAGAGTAATAGTACTTATTGTAGTATATAAATTTGTGATCTAAATATGGATTATGACACATGATATACAATACATAATTACAGTATATGTACTATCATCTTTTAACGGAGGAACTCATAAACATGCAAATAAACGGGGAAGCTTTGTCATATGCTTAAATAATGTGTCATTGTTATATAACAATAATTGTTCTATATGAAGAATAAAGAGGGACATTAAACATTATTGGAAATACAAAATAAATCGATATTACTAGTTTATGCATAGTATTATAATTAATAACCATACTGACACTATACAGGTTACATTTAGGTATGTATAATCCAAGAAAGGATTAGAGGTGCTCCCTTTTCCTTATCTAATTTAAATATGTTTGGGTATAAGTTCAGTTCCTTACGATAATAGTTACAGTAGACTGAGCTTTAATTACCTAATTTATTTATGTACTCGTATGTGCTAAGATGAAAGTACATACCTGAATTCCAAACAGTCCCATAGCAACCAAGCCAATCCAGCTGTGTAGGGAGTAAAAATTGTTGATCCCGGATTTATTGTGGTAATCAAACACGGCGAGGAAGCCTATCACGATGCAGGGGAAGGCCAATGCGTGGAAGATTGCGTGCAGAAGCTTCACGTAGATACGTCTGAAGCACCGGCAGATACGGTAGAGCAACACCGCTGGAAAGAGAATTAACATGATTTTGTAATGTTTTGTTTATTTTGACATATTTATAAAATGTAGAAATCTAAAAAAACTTGACATTAATATGGACTTGGATTAATAAAACAAAGGCTTTAAACTTATAATTTTTGCATGAGTTTTTCATTGGTTGTTTCCAAAATTATCACTCAGCAATCCATACCAGTGTTTTCGCTCGTCTAAGCATAGAAGTAGATAGAGAATTGCAAGAAGATAGAGATAGAGAAGACACATTGCAAGGACGTGAGCCACCAAGGAGAGCTTAGTTGATAAATTATCACAGATGTATGAAAATTACAACTACTTTGTAAAGAGTATACGACTTATGAAAGAAATATTGTTGAAAGCTAGGTGTGGCAAAAGTCATCTATTGTTACATCCAATTTAATTATTCGTGAAATAAAAACATTTTTTAATGTTAGAAACGCAAAAGAACAGACGGTCCACCTAATGAAAAGCCACTTTCACCCCTGAACATCTGCAATACCAGAGATGGTGCTTGTGCGTTACCAACATTTTAAATGTTTGCAAGCACGTTTTTTAAAATGCCTTATTTTATATTGTAAGGAGAAAACTGAAGATGGGAGCTCATTTCACAACCTAGATGTACGAGGTAGAAATGAATGGGATGCACGGACAATGGTAGTGGGCCACGCACCCAAGAAATGAGGGTGATCTTAGCTGATCAATTGTCATTTTATTGATTGTTGGCAGTAGATAGAATTTCAGTATAAGTTTTAGTAGTTTCAAATTATCTTAAAAATTATTTTAAATGGTTAACTTACAAAATCCACTGAAGGTGATGAATCCGGCCACCATAAGTGTTGGATGCAAATTGAACTGCTTAGCGGGGTTCTCATCAGCCCAAGCGTATCCGGCACGGTAGTAGAATACCCAGAAGATGGTAAGAGCTGACACCCCGATGAGCAGGATGGTTGCGAGGGTGATGACCAGCGCATACTCGCACCACTCGCAGGCTCCTCGTTCATGGTCGTCCGATTCGTACGAACGGGTCCGTTGACTGCAAAAAAATATTAAATACTTTTAATAAAATGTTGTCTTTTTTATTCTTTAAATATTGTCACCAAATTTAACACAAATATCTGTGGGATTATGTAAGTAGATGTTTATATAAAAAAATATATAAGAAACTACAATGAAAACCGGACTCCGACAAACTAAAGTCATAAAGCGTACACCTATTAAAGAATCAATACTTAAATCTCAAATATCAAATCTAACAAAGATAGTTATCCTTATTTCCTCTCGCTATTTTATTATTAGCGAAAGCTTACACATCCTTCATAACTTAACTCCTATTAATCTAAAAATACTAATTGATTATTAGAACCAATAAGTAGATACAGATAAAACCAATTAAATGCTATGATATGTGTTTACGTTGCAATTGATTTATCCGAAGTAGACGGGATGTTTACGAGTGCGGAAACCGCAGCCTCCATTTACTTTACCTGCCGAGTTACCTGTTTGGATATAGGAGTTCAAATTACTGAAGTAATAAAGACATAGAAGGGTGTCAGGTAGCGTGGGATATGTGAGATCATTGAGCCATCCGGCAGGGGAGTCACGTCACGGAACGAGGACTTTTGTATATTTTTCACGTAACATTCTTTATTTAAAAAAAATAATCGTGCTGTATCATGATTGTCAAGTGGCTAGTTAAATTTAAAAGCACCCTCTTAAAGAAGATTTTCAATTCCACTACATTTTTGTGTTACAAAATTTGTTTGCAAATTCTATATTAATCATTATTTTTTACATTTAATGAATCTACTATGCTTATCTTGTATTGTACAAAAAATTTATATTTTAAGTTTAAACTTTGTACTCTTCTGTGATGTAAACCATATATCGGTATTCCTATGCAATCAATTCAAACGTAACACTATGACAAACTTTTACAGTTAATTTACGACAGATTACTAATTACTGTCGGGTTTAATAGTTGTAATAATTCGATAGATTTTCGACTATGAATCTTGAATAACGGAATAGTAATATATTCATCGTAAACGAAAACGAGATACTCTTTACGACGTATAATTTCTGGCTCTTCTCTCTGGTAATAAAATAAGTCTTTATTTGAATACAGTAATGTACTTAAAAAAATCGTTTTCTTGGTCTTATTTTGTTCATCTATTCCATTCACCAGTTATTTAATATACCGTCCCTATTGTTATTATTAATATCTATGTTAAGGAGAGTATTTTTTTATTTTATTTTTTAATTAATTATCAAAACATATACCATTGTTAGTACTCAATTCAATCACCTTTATTGTCGTTGTGGATAACTATAATGTCTTCATACAATGGTGTGAAGTATGTCAGTCAATACTCATCTCAGAGACGCACTTCCCGCGGTGAAAGTCCACTTCTACTCGTAGGTAAGCAGAAGCGCAAGTTTCATCATCGCAAGAACACATTTCACCAATAATAATGCTAAAAAAACTTTTGACTTTCGGTTGGATATTTCGATTAGTCTGTAGATAGAAGACAATTAGTCAATTTGTTAGACGCAGTAGTGTGACACGAACGTCCTATAGTTTGTGTAAATAATCAAAATTCACTGATTATATATATGAAAACTGGGTTATTACATACTTCTATAATAATACACGCAGTTAAAGTGACATAGTATAGCTATCAGTTAAATAAAAATGCAGTTTATAAAATATTATAAATAATAATATTCATAATTCTGACTTGCCTTCAATAAACTGTTCAATAAACTGTGCCTAGGATTTGCCCCTCAATTTGCTACGACACCGGTTGACCAGTGCTCGTGATAGGTCATTCGTGAAAGTGACGGCATATCGTGGCAGCTACCTTACAACTTGGCCTAAGGTTTCCCAAAATTATGTTGCAATTTGATTAAAATATTTAAATCCCATGTAAAAATTTAAGATGATCTTTATCAAAAAGGTGCTCTTTTAAACTAACCATTGCTATCAATTTATCTAATGTATTATAATTATAAAAAGAAATATTTTACTGCGTGCTTAACGTAGGTATAGCTAAACCATTGGGTCCTTATTAAAAATGAAAGTGAGCCCAATAAAAGTTTTTTTTTTTTTATCTCCACAGAAGCAGTAGTTAACGGATTTCTCGCGGAATAAAAGTCACAGTAAATAGCTTGAATTGACATATAAAAAACTCAGAAATTTATTTCTTGATTCAATTTCCTATTAAAAAAGTTGTTGTGGATTGTTATATATCTATATTTGTAACATATCTATCAATTGTTATCAATGGTTAGCTGGTAGAAAATTCCATATGACATTAAGCTCGCCACTTGTACAAATTTTTATTGTGCAATAAAGAATAAATAAATAAATAAATTGTTTGCTGACCTACCAATTTTCATTTCCTCCGCCGATTTTATGTACCTATGTATAATTGTAAGTGTAACAACTGATGATGGTTAATAATGCCAATAGCTTAGTTAAATTAAGAGGAAATGAACAATAACCGTACAATGTCACCAAAGACCCGCCATTGAGCAATCTACGAGATAACTTGATTAACCTCAAATAAGATCAGTGACCGCCAAAGGTACAATTTTATCTCTATATTCACTTTAAAATGATCGATTTATAAAATAAACTGTTATTACGCATTCAATTGTATCGTTGTGAAGACGTATTAACAATAGAAAGAATAAGCCTTTTGTGGCAAGTTCACAAAACGTTACGTGACCGTAAAGGCACATTTCAAACTCTCTACGCATTGACCACGATGTGATCCCAAAGAAGAATAAACACTATCCGGGTGGGAGGGTCTCGCTTTCACCAACTATGCAATACAGATTCGCACATTACCTACGAGTCTAATATAATTGTTTCTTTTTAATTATATTGATTTGTAATATGTATGGAATATCTATGGTATATAACCATAGATATTCCAATAGATATAATTACATTCTCATAGACTAGAACAGTGAAATGTCTCGAAAGTGCTCTATAAAATTCTTGTACAAAAAGTAGTGGTAAAACAAGTTGTTTGATCTAGCGAGACTGCTCGCGCTTGTAATTCGTGCAATGCACCAATGAAGAGAAATGTAATGCAGGGTCTAGAAGCGGTTGCGAAGGGCTCGGGGGGGCTCGGTCGTCGACCCCACCGGCCATGGTACTCCTGGCCTACTTGAGAACGCCGGACAAGCATCTTGTTCGTCATTAACATATCTGCTATCAACATTAACTGAACATTTATAATATCCAAATTCCTATCTCTAGAAGTTATCTCAGTTCCTTTTTTATTTGAATTAATTTGAATATAACTTGAAGTGTACGGTAGTAACAATAAGAAAACTATACTCAGAACATTTAGATAATCAGTAAAATACTTCATGAGTATTTCTATAATCTCTAAAATCATTCATACGTCGTAATGAGATTATATAATAATTATTCAAAAAACAAACTTATCACTTTTATACGGAAACTTCATAGAAATTCGCGTCTTTCCATGGAATGTTTTTACACAGTCGTCATTATTGTGCTGAAATAATAAACGCCAGAAACAATATGAGCATTTGATAGTATTTGAACTTTACACCGAGAAACAGAAAAGCCACTTCTGATCATATCGAAGGAAGATCTACTCGTGCTTCTGTTCATGTTAAATAACAGACTTATCTGTATCAAATACGTAAGAACACGTAATTGGAGCGAGAGACTGGAAGAAAAGGTACTTGTAAATTTATTAGATAACATTTATCTAAGAGAAAGGTCTTACTGGGAAGTCAACCAACTTATATGCAGTTACGGTTCCGAAAAGATAATTATATCATACATATTTTTAATAAGTACTTATTAAAAAAGATACGATCAAAATCTATAGGGCGTTGTGGTTCAGCAAAAATGGTACTTTTCTGCACTGATACCTATATTATTACGAAGAAAACGTTGAAAACAGGTAATCCATTCATTATTTCAGGATTTCGTAATATCCTTGTAGCTCAGTGGATTATATAACAATTTTGTGATTATATAAAAGGTTTTCGTCAAGTAAAAGCTTTTTTTGTCAATTAAATGTTATAATAAAAATATTATACATTAAATGTAAATTGTCAGTGGAAGCAGGTGGCTCAGGACCCTTCCTTGCAGCAGTCTATGGAGGAAACCTATTTTCAGCATTAAACAAATAATGATAATCATCTCAATTATGATAATAATGTACTTATTATAGTAGTTTAGTCAATTGTTTTAAGTGTTCATATGACTATTAGATATCATATTCCAATATTTTCAACTCGTCTGTAATAATAAAAATATACTTTTAGATATTTTTTTTGCCAATAACTGTACTTCGCTATTATCATGTCAGACTTTTGTATTATCAAGACAAACACTTGAAGTAACGCCATATTATAGTCTACTGTTCAATTCTATTGACACATAAAATCCTCCTGTCACATTGAAGTTACATTCGGAACGACATTGGTATGGTCAATGAGTTAATTTGTTTCGTGTGCCAGATTAGTGTGTGAACGCGTGTCCGACCGTCCGTAACTGTCGGATTAGTTACATTTAAAGTACCGTGAAACATGAGTTTCGCAAATTTACTTGTCTTAGAGTTTTGTATAATTCGTCTAGTGGTACCATCATTTTACTACTATTTCTATTTCTACCGAGAAGTAGCAATGCGTACTATATATTTTGTTATGAAAGTTAGAATAGCCAGTACAATACCCGATACAAATAGACAACGTATGAACAGACATTCATGAATGAGAAGCCAAACATATCATGATGTTATTTAAATAATACGATAGGTATCCACTAATATAAAGGTGTATGAATTTCAAAGCTCGGCAAACTTCGAGTAATTTGATATTAAATTCCAAGGGTTCAGGTCTACTCACCATTAAACTGACTACGAACCGAATCCTTGATTATCTTCCTTATTATAAAAATAGAAATTAAATTTTTAAAATGAACTATCAAGGGGCCTAGCCCATAATATTATCTACTTTAGAAAGGATATCCTTTCTAGA